TAGTCCCTTCCTGTATACTGTTCTTGGTGCTGTTGATCTAGGATCCAGTTGGAGCGTTTAAGCCTCTGTAGATAATAAATAAAACCTCAGGATTCAATCTTCTCTTGCTGTTCACAGTAGGACTGAACTGTTTTCCTTATGCTTAACCTTAGTATTTTCCATGTTACTGTGGGGAAAGGTTTCTGGGGCAGAAGCACCCTAGTTCCATCTCAGTGGTGGTAGTGATTTTATGCTGTTTTCTTCTACATAATACCCTAATGTAGTGTGTCTTACCTTCATAAAACTTACATTAATTTATTCAGTAAACCTTCATTGAACATCCTATACTAGGCTCTGAGGATATAAAGATAAAAAGAAGTAATTCCCGCCCCCTGGGAACTTAAAGTCTGGTCTGCAAGAAGATAGGCAAACACCCCATTCCTGCAGTTAGGATCATCATTATGAAGCTCACACAAGATATTCTAGAATGTGGAGGAGGGGGTTCACAATTCTGCAGATAACTGTTTGGAAAAGTTCAGGAGAAGATTCACAAAGGGGATAATAGTTGTACTGAGATGAGTAAGAACCTTTACTCATCTTTAGTAAGAACCTAAAGAATTGGGCAAAAGTATCCCAAGCAGAGGAATAGCAAGTGTAAATCATGAAAACTTGAGAGCATACTGTACCCACCAGTTTGTAAGTTTATATTCACTTGAGCATTTAACCCAAATAAGCTCCTTGAGACCAGAAACTTTGGTCTCCATTGTATCCTCAGTTTTTAGCACAATGCCTGGAACATAGTATTTAGTTTTAAAAAATCTTTTTACAAACAGAATTACACAAATCCTCACAATGGTCCACATACTTTCTCTCACACAGTCTCCTTCTCACTCCCCTTTGCAGCACCTGATGTACCTCCTTAGAAACCTAGACTCCAAAGAACACTGTTTGAAAGCCACTGCAGCAGAACATAATATGTCAAGATTTTAGGAGTGGGTTTCTCTTTCATATTTATATGTTAGAACAACATGCATAATCAAAGCTAATAATACTGTGTTTTATTTACTCTTTTATTTGCCTCTAAAAAGCATCCACACATAGTGGTGAACTGATTTTTAACCAGTTTTAAATAGGCATTGAAAAATATTTATAATTGTAATTACTAAAAGTATTTCTCTTTGCAATTCTCTTATCTGTGTTTCCAGACCGGTTGGAGGGTGACAGATCAGAAGGCTCTGGTCAAGAGAATGAAAATGAGGATGAGGAATAATAAACTCTTTTGGGCAAGCACTTAAATGTTCTGAAATTTGTATAAGACATTTATTATATTTTTTTCTTTACAGAGCTTTAGTGCAATTTTAAGGTTATGGTTTTTGGAGTTTTTCCCTTTTTTTGGGATAACCTAACATTGGTTTGGAATGATTGTGTGCATGAATTTGGGAGATTGTATAAAACAAAACTAGCAGAATGTTTTTAAAACTTTTTGCCGTGTATGAGGAGTGCTAGAAAATGCGAAGTGCAATATTTTCCCTAACCTTCAGATGTGGGAGCTTGGATCAGTGTTGAAGAATAATCTTCATCATAGTGAAAATGTTGGTTCAAATAAATTTCTACACTTGCCATTTGCATGTTTGTTGCTTTCTAATTAAACAAATTGGTTGTTTTAAGATACCCTGAATTTGACTTTTTATTTAATGCCTTGCTCTCTCCTGCAGCATATGAGGACTATTTTTCTAAATTTTCTAGATTTAACAACTTTTTCCTTTTTTACTTATGTGGGATGAAATCATATAGAAGGACTTTCTTCATTTCTCTTTCCAAGATACAGCAGACCCTTGAAAAACCCAGGGGTTAGTGGCACCAGCCCCTTCACCATAGGTGAAGATTGATGTGTAACTGTTGATTCCCCAAAAACTTGATGAGTAACAGCCTGTTGATGGCAAGCCTTACTGATAACATGGTCAATTAACACATATTTTGTGTATTATAGGTATTATATGCTATACTCTTACAATAAAGTAAGCTACAGAAAAGAAAGTCTTGTGAAGAAAATCATAAGGAAGAGAAAATATATTTACTGTTCACTAAGTGGAAGTGGGTCATCATAAAGGTCCTCATGTTGAGTAGGCTAAAGAAGAACGAGGTGTTGGTCTTCCTGTCTCAGGGATGGCAGAGGAAATCCACATGTGAGTGGCTCTATGTAGTTCAAACCTGTGTTGTTCAAGGGTCAACTATACTTTTATCCCCAGTTGTCATCTCTCCTATGAGTGGAACTTCTATACAGATACAGGAGTTAGTCTTCAGGAAGAAATCACTGAGAGCATCATAGGTAGCTCACACAGTAGTGTAAACTAGCCCTGAAGGAAATGGCTCTGGCCTACCTCTCACTCCAAATTTTAAATTTCACTGCAGGTTACTGACCATCCAGTCTTCTTATTTCTGCTCTTTCTTAACTCTAGTATCCACCTCCATTCAAGTCATCTACACCCAAGCCTACATATCCTGTAGGTTATGACCTGAAACTGCTCCTGCAGACCTAACCCTGCAGTCATCCTCCCTCACTTGTACTAAATTTTTATTCTGCTGACATCTTTCCCTCAGTCTAGTCACATACTCATGGCTCTTCAGTCCATTCACAAAATAAGTAAAATCTTTTTTTCAACAACAAATTATTCTCTGTTTACTTTCTGATTTCTCTCCTCCTCTTGTCATCCAAATGAGCATAGTACACGTCCATGGCTTCTCTTTGCTACTTTCTTGATACACAAAGCTGCCTCCAGAAGCCAGACCTGCCAGGTGGGAGTGAGGGCAGTTAGTTTGCTGCCTCATAACATCTCGGAGGCAAAATCACAAGCATGGCAGTGTTGTGTGTTGTGGTCCATGATTTCAGAGGCATGCTCACTGTTACACACACCCTCAATCACACACTCAGCATTTGCTATTGTAGGTTTCTGGGACAGCACATCATTTCTCCCTTTCTGAGGGAAAAGTCTTTGATCTTCCATTCAGTGGGCTGTTGGGAACTGTCTCACTTGTGAAGACAGAAACTTACCCCAGCAACTTCTCCATGACCTGTAGTCCAGCCAGTAACTATCTTCACTATAAACTCCTTGCCAGCCAGCAGCTGGAGAAGACATTGAATTACATGCCATACTGATCATTGAGCCCATCTTGAGACAGCCATTCAGTGCTGATACAACATTATAACAGTGATACAAGAAAAAAAATGTTGGCATTGTCAGGGTCGGAGCTGTGGATCTATCACCATCAGCACCAGCCTTGAGCTCTAGCTTTTGATCACACTCCGGAAGTGGGTATCATACCACTGGTGACTATACACAGTGGCTGAAAGAGGCCAGAGCGAATGCAAATCTGATGGTTTGCCATGGTCATTTCAAACCTGTCTGTTGATGCCTTTAGTGTTTGTGCTGTGACAGCTGCCTTTTGTTGTTGACAGTAATCCATCTCTTACTGTTCAATTAGCAGATAGTTGAAAAGTTCCTATTACTTTCAGGAATCTAAATATCTTGGAGAGAAAGGACAAAGTCAGATACTGAGAGTAAGATACAGTATCTCTCTGGCTAAGCCACAACTGGTCTCAGACTAGTCAGTCAGTAGCCAAGCAGGGCATCCCTCTCCCATGTGGAGAACAGGGATCTCTCCTCCACAGCCAGAGACACCTGCTGCTGAGAAGACGGGTTAGCTTTTTGTATACAGGAAAAATAACTGCAGTAGGTTATTACTCAATAAGCTCAGTAGGTTCAACTGGACTTCACATCCAGCTTGACAAAGCCACGTATGTATCCACGTTAGGAAATGTAGTAAATGGTCAAGAAATCAGAGCTTTGGCCAACCAAGGTCACTACATGACTTCTGGGAAGTGCAGGGGTCTTAGTTTCTGGTTTTTCAGTTATGTACCTTGCTCAAGCCACCTGACTTCTCTGGGTTTGTTCTTGCTCTAAAGCGGGGTTGGTCATATTTGCCCTTCCTATGTCACAGGGGCTATGTTAGGGCAAAATGAAGTCATAAGATTGATGGGCTGTTATACAGGGTAACTGAAAAGATTACTGTAAGCCATAAGACAGTAAGAGGGATGTGCTATAGCTGGGTGCTGGGAAATTGACAGGACAGCGGATACTGGAGGACTCAATGTGGGGAAGGAGTAACTGTCATAAAAATGGTATTCATCTGCTCTGGTGCAGGATGTTGTTGGGGGAGGGAAGGGCTATGGGAACTCTGTACTTTTTGCTCAGTTTTGCTGTGAATCTAAAACTGCTCTAAAAAATTATTTTTTAAAAAAGTATTTGTTAAATGAACTGAGTCCCCCACCTACAGCGATTTTGCAGAATTTTGGTGGTGCATATTGCTCAGAAGCAGGACAAGGCAGACAAGCCGACAGGAGGCACAAAGAGAGAAACATCTACAAAGGCAGAATTCACAAGTGCTGGCTGCTTCCAAGATGGGGTGTGTGTCAGAGGACCCCAGAAAGCTCACAGACTGGACCCGAGAACCACCATCGGCTCAGATAAAGGAAATTTCAGTGGTGGCAGGTGAGGGGGTCAGGAAAAGGTGGGTTTCATGCCCTGAGGTGGTTCTGATTCTCAGTGGTCATGATAATCTGCCTCTCGCCCTCTTTGACTTTGATGATGGGTAGAGAATATATCTGTAGATGAGCAGACATAGGGCATAGCTCCTTTAAAAACCTTGGGTTAAGAGTACTTCTTGGGCATGGTGAGAAGTAGGTCATTTAAACAGTGCTCCGAATTTAATTGCCTTGGAGGAACTGATAAAAAAAGCATGGATGAGTATTTCCAGGTGACTGGTACGGGCACTTCGCCACCAATTCTGCAGCAATCCACCCCTTTCTGCTCAGTCTCCCTCATTTTAGCCCATGGAAAGGGAGGTTAGCAGGAGGGATATGGCTGCCTGTTGCCAAGGGCAATGGAAGAAAATGGGAGAAAGGCAAAGGCACTCAACAAAGTCCACAGACCACAAGTACAAATTCACCATTTCCACAGCTATACACATACCAAAAGCATTTAATCAGGTCAACAATTCTAAATACACTTTTGCTTGTTTATAAATACTGATTTATAATAATCCTAAACATTTTTTAATCTTAAAAAAATCCAAAGACTTAAATATATTTCAGGATTAGCTTGGGTTTTTTGTTTTCGAAGGTTGGTTTTTAACCATTTCTGCATCCAGGGGTCCATTATCAGAACACAGCACGGTACTCCGTCCCTTAAGCATGCAGGTTCCTCCTGCTCTCAGTGTGGCCTTGTCTGCCCAGGCCTGTGATCCTCCCTGGACTGTCTTTTCCTCTGGGAGGGATGACTCACCTGTGATTTCTGGTATTTCAAACTAGTGAAAGAAGGAAAAACTAAAGTGGCATTTGATTCTTAAGCTATTAATATTTTCCAGGAAAATGCTTGCTGAGGGAAATGAACACAGCTTTGTCTATATGTTCTCTTAAAAACATTGACCAAATGTGCTTTTTATAATCTTGTGCAGATTTGAGTTTGTGCTTTGATATTTTCAAAGGAATCTTCAATGTACTGGAAATACTTTGGAGTCCAAAGTATTTGTTAGATACTTTCCAGTGAGTCCAGTCACTTTCCTTGGGCTTTCAGTATTTTTCAGGTCTGGTCAGCAGATGTTAATATCTCCCATGATCCTTGGTTTACAGTAGTTCTACCTACCTAATAAAGCCCTGCTGGCCTGTTGTATGATATTGATGACTCTCAACTATCCCTCATCTTCCTTGACCTGTAAGACTGGCTCCTTGCTTCTCTCAGCCATTTGCCCAAGACCTGGAGTTGGGCTCTGATTCTGGCTTGAGACCTGAGACAATTTCCTTGGATTCTGTGTCCCCTCTCCCAACCCACAAGGACAATATGGCTCTGCACCTTCTTGCAGGCATATATGGCTGATCACAACCATTCTCCTTTGCCTAGGGTGAAGATGGTGATTTCCTCTCTCTCCCACAGGCTCCATCTGGGGTTCTGCATATATTGTGAGTAGCATCCCTGCCTTGCCTCTTAGGGGCTTGGAGGATTAGGGATTCTGTGAACCCAAGAGCCACAGCCAGGCATTCACTCTGTTGCTACAGAACAGAGCTGTCCTCAGCAGCCAAGGGCATTTGTCAGGGAGAGTGTCCCTTCTGGAATGTAAGGAAGGTCAAGCTGTATTTGTGCTATGATTTGGAATGCTACACCAGGCCCTGGGGGTTTGATCATCTTTGATAGTCATTCAGGACAAATTAGAATTATTTTATTTTTGTACAAACAGGCCAATGGCATAGACATTTTTAATAGAAAATCTCATTTCGGCTCCCTTAGACATTTCAGGTTCCAGATGCCTTTCCTCTCTCCTCTCTATTGCCTTCTCTTCCTCACCACATCCCTGCTTTCCCAAAAGTCCTTCCTTGCTATGCAACAAATATGACAATTCCCATGGCAACAACCTTTAACACCTCCCATCTAGGATAACAGTTATCTTTTCAAGATTCTCACTGCATTATAGGGAGATCCCTGTAAAACAAGAATACACCGCCCGCCCCCCACAGAGATACTGTGAAGAAACACCAGTGGCTCAGCTTCAGCTGCACCCTAGGCATTGTGCTGCAGGTTTTCCAAGTATTTCCCCATAGAATCCAGACAATCACCCTGCGACAGAGGCCTCCCTCAATTCTGTGTGTCTCCACACAGAAACATGACAGAACTTCAAAGATGAGGAAACGCATGCAGAAATACCATGTGACTTGCTTGAAAACACCCAGGTAATAAGTGGAAGTATAGGATCTGAACTCACGACTTAACCATACCTATGTCTTCACCATCCCCGCTATGTGAAATGAGAGAAAGCATTGGAAGTACCTAACACAGCACCTAGCACATCACAGGCACTCACATGTCAAACAGGTCCGTCCCACAGTAGGCACTCACATGCCAGCTCACTGCCCCCTCTTTATAGCCACACCATCCTCAGAGTTCTTCCAGACAGCACACAGCCAGGGCTCAAGGCTGAACATGTGTCGTGAGTGTATCTTGTGGTTTATCCAGAGACATGTCTAATTTGCAGATATCTAAAAGGCATATTGTCAGGATGGAAAAATACATAGGTAAATCTGAACAGACTAATAATCTGTCATTGTATCTAAGCACTTTTCCTCCGTCTCCTGTCTCAACCCAAATTCCTTAGCCTGTCTATTGCAAATATTTAGTCTCACTGGTTGCTCACTTGTTTACAGAAAGACCACATAGTAGCTCCTCAAATGAGAATCAATGAACATGGGCACCAGATGGCCCTCGTCTTAACAAACACTCCTCAACCCTGCTTCTCCAGGAGCAGTGATCTAGCTAACATCACTCAGTGGCAAGACCTGTGAACCTGGATGAGGTCATGCATGTAAGCAGGCTAGCCAGGTGGTCCTTGGTCCCCAAGGCCGTGGACTACACGATGAGGGCAAAGGAATTCAAAACAAGAGCACTCAGCCAGAGGCAAAAAACCACCCAGGTTCATCCTTAGCTCTGCACAGCCACACTGCTGCCACCTAGTGTCTAAGGGCCTGAACTTCAGTCTTGGTGCCTCTGGCCGGGGAAATGGTTGTGCCGAGCTGTGCGTGTGCTCTGTAATGTGGGACTCCCAATGCCTTCTGGGTCAAAACTGCCCCAAACCTGTTATCTGTGGCATAGCACAGGGACCCAGTAGGGCAGAAATCTCAGTGAAAGCAGAGATGGGCAGTAGCTCTAAATGTGGTCATGTCAAAACCAGGAGACACAGGACTGAGGTGTTGAAGCTAGTAAGTAGCAAAATGTTTCATGTGCTGCTGTCCATGTGGTCCCATCAGGAAGGCTGCAGGTGCCACTGCACAGAAGTTTACAGTTAATGAGCCAGGGTTTACTGGGGGCACGTGGGGCTTTGACCTTCTGCACTAATGGCAGATATCCTCAAAAATGCCTCTCAGGAACTTCAGAATGTGTAAAAATTCTTTCCTTCTCCCCCACCCACCCCTTCTCTCTCTCTCTAGCTGAATAAAGGCAAATTGAATTCCTGAATATGAAAAATATGGTTCTAGCTGTCAAACATCCTCCAAGACTTAGCTCAAACTGTCACCTACCTCACGGAGCCATCCCTAACTCCACAGTTGGAAATATCCACCTCCCTCTGAAACCACACTTCTTTCTGTAACCACTACTTGACTTTGCTAGTTATTAGAATCGGTATCCTCCAGGTCCTGCTCCCTAAATCAGAGTGCACACTTCAGTGGTTTTGCCTACAGAGCCTGACCGGGTGCTTTGCACACAGTGGATGTGCAGTGTCTGGTAGATAACTAAATGAACTGGACCTCAGTAAAATATATTTTAAAAAGGGAAATACAGTGAATCCTTTTGTGAAAAACAGTATTTCTAGATTTATTTAGAGTAAATTCTATTATATCCCAGCTATTGTGGTGTCAGTGGGGGAGTGGGAGGCTGTCTGAGGGTTCTTTCCCTGGAGCCCAATCTAGTACAGTCAGGGGAGCTTTCTCCCATCCTTGGGCTTCAAAGCCAAGTGGCTGCATTCAAGTATGCCTACACCTAACCAGCAACCCGTCCTAGAGACAAAGGTCTCTCTGCCCTGTTCCACCTCTGTGTACACTAGCCGATCAGGAATATGGTCCCTTCAGAAACTAGACAAGTGCCAGAAAATATATATACAGAGAATATATATGGAAAACGTGAACCACACGCAGACTTAGCAATGCCATCAGTAATGGACGTGGAGTGTCCGACCTGCACAGGTGAACCTGCCCTCTGCACCTGCCCACTCCCAGAAGCTAGGCCAGCGCCTGGCACCCAGGTGACCCAGAATAGTCATTGAGTTCAGTCATCACACGTAGCAAGACTCCAGGCCTCATGAATGGTCATTCATTAAACTGCAGACCAGGGACCACTGGTTTCTGCCACACAACACAGAGACACTGCCTCACCAGGAGCTAGCTAGGCCCCAAAGAAAACACCACAAGGGTAATTCACTTTCTAGAATAGCTGCCTCTTAGCAGCCAGCAAGATCTCCTTGGAATCTACCTTCTGCCAACCAAAGCAGAGAAGTCCTGAACTGATTTATTCATGCAGGCTGAAGGGCGGACGCAAGAGCAGATCCAGTGGCTTCCCCAGTCATCACAGCAGTGACTCCAGGACCAAACACCAACTGCTGTTCCAACTCAAAGGGAGGAGAAGAGAGGTCTAACCATCCCAACCCCATGCCTGTGCTTCCCCTTCTGAGGTGGTGACCCTGCCCCTCACGCATCTTGGTGGCTGGCATTCTATCCAGACTGTGCTCTAATGGGCAGGGCAGACAAGGCCACAGAACCCCAATCTGGTCGCACTTCACATGTACATGAGCAACCACATTCCACAGTTAAACAAAGGTCAGTCCATGGGTCTGCTTTTGTGTTTTTTCCATCTCTGCTTTACAAATCCAGACAACACCAAAGATGAGAGCTGGAAATGATCTTGGAGACCAAACCAACTCCCCGCTCCTTTTTCCCAGTTTATAGAGAACCTAGAGACGTGACAGGATGTCCCAAATGACAAGCGCACACGAAGACAGGAATGGGCCAAGAACCCGGGTTCCTGGCTCTGAGTCCAGGGCTTCTATCTTGTTTTACGCCAGGCTTGTTACTTTTGGGAGTGTGCCCTGCGGAGCCGGGGCCGGCTGTATTTTCATCAGTCACTCACACATCACACGGAGTCTAATTAGGCTTTCCCATGTAAACAAATAACAGTTACTCTGTTTTCTGGCTGTGCTTTTCACTAGTCCCATGCAGTCCTGGTAAAACAGTTGTGCATCTTAAATGGATGTTTTTTTAAATTCTGGAAACAAACACCTAGTATCTGCCCTTCCTCCTGTCTTTTATAGTGGTTTCTCCCTTTTGAAATACAAAAGAACTTGTCAGTAGGGCAGTGGGCAGGGTGGGCCCGTCCTCAAGAGGCCTGTGGCTGCCCCACTAACACCAGCAGGTGGCACCACTGAGGGCTACTCTGAAGTGCTCTGCTCCTGGGTGCTCTCTCTCTGTGGACCAGTTAGTCTAGAACTCAGGGTCCCGCACTGCCTGCATCAACCATGCAGAAGCACCAGGACGGTCGCGTGTCATTAGGAAGAAGCGTTGTGCCATCCTCCACAGTACATTGAGAGGGTTCTCCTCCTGAGGGCTCTGGCACCGTGCACGGCTGGACTCCTAGCACACAGGTGTGAAGGGAAAATGATGCATGTGGGGATTTCCTTCCAAGCCCTTTGTCTCTGGTCCTCCTATGGCCCACCTCCCAAAAAGCCACGGCCACATCTCTATATGTGTGTGTGTGTTTTTGTTTTGTTTTGTTTTTTGCTTTAGATGCTTCTGGTCCCATTACTGGGACCTAAAAGCAGCTCACATGTGGTCTCTGGAAACGCTGAAGCGTGGAACGGTAGACATTATTTTCAGTCCTTGTCCTGGTGGCTGCACACCATATATTGCTCCTTCCCTGTGTGTGGCCAGCTGTACACAGTGACGTGCTCCCAAGGCCACGGCACAGATGGTGATGGGAACTCCTCTTCAGGCCGGCCTCTTGGGCCACAGCCCCAGGGCACCCCAGGCCTTCATCTCTGCTCAGCGGCTAAAACATCCCCTTCTTCGATGCTCTGTAGCTGCAGCCTCTGACTCGCAAGAGTTCTGCTGCCTCGGCGGCCCCCAAAGCCAGCCCCTGGGACAGTCCGTGCTGTGAGCAAGACCCCTGGCAAAGCCTCCTCCCCAAATAAGTTGATTTTGGCTTCAGCCTCAATGGCTTTGGCCAAGCTGGTTGCGTAACTGTCCAGCGACTTGTGTACCTCAGCTTTCACATGAAGAATCGAGTTCTTGGCAGTTTCTGAGGGAGAAGGAAGGAAAAAAACGTCAGCTGAGGAGGCAGGCCTGGGGACTACCTTGGGGACAAGCCTGCTGCTGCTCCTCCACCCCCAGGGAGGGAGGCAAACCACAGGTGAGGGCATGGGTTTCAAAATTCAATTCCTAGGCCAAAAGCTTTGACTCCCTGACTTCCTACCTGGGCAACCTCGGAAAAAATATTTAATCTAGCCTCAGTTTCCTCATCTGCAAAGAGAAGATAAGACAGCTCTTACTCCATAGGGTTACTGTGATAACTAATGGAGATAATTCTAACATGTTAACCTAGGTCTGGCCCGTGGTAAAGACTTGATAAACACTTTCTACTAATGCTAATCAACATTTTCACATCTTTGAAAGCATATTCTGGCCTTTGAGCTCCCTGAAGCAGTGTAATATCTACGTCCATAGGCTTCCACAAGCCTTAATGTCATCTCTTTCCTCTCCATATTTGCTCAGAGATTCCCCATGCAGAACCTCAAGGTTGGACATGACATTACAGATTCAAGTCCCCTCCCAGGATTAGGAGCCCTGAAACTGACATGAACAGAAGGGAGAGAGGGAGGGCCCTGTTGTTATTAACTCACTGCCTATTTCCTCTGGACATTTTGGCGGAACAAGGTATCCTCTCCTCCTTACAGTTTCTGGAGAGTAGGCAACCTGTACGCCACTTTCCAAGAGGGAAAGATGGAGGGACCTCTGGCTGCTCTCTGCCCTGCCACTAGCTCTTGGCAGGAGTCCCTGCTGGGAGGGTGCTGTTGAAGCTACCACCCCCACAAAGCAGGAGTGATGAGCAAGTGTGGCCCTACGTGGGCCGGGGGATTGGGGTGCATTCGGTTCATTTTTTCATATTACAAAGCCCATGAGCCTGCTGGCCCAAGCTCTGTTCTAGACTCTGCTTTGCCAGTGAAGCAAATGATCTATTATCCACTCTGACCTCTGTGACGACCTCTCCATCATTCTGAACTCAGGGAGGGGTGTGGAGAAGAGATGGGATTAATCATGAACCTAAAACTCGGACAGAGCCCCTATTTATTTCCATTTTCAACATTTCTGAAGATCCTCCTGATGTCATACAGCCCCTGGCCTCTACCACATCCACAGCCAGTCCTGCTGGCGTCTGGACGGCTCTTTTCACTCCTAATCAGCATGTCTGGATGGAAAATGAATTCCAAGTTCCAGAGTAAACAACAGTGCTGGGGGTGAGTGGGGAAGAGATGGGAGGGAAATGTATGGACTGGGCTGCGTCAGAGCTCATTCTCCTCACAGGACCCAAGGGCATCACTGCCTTAGGGGAAACGGACAAGGAAGATGGCAGCTTGGGCCTCCAGGAAAGCAGGTACACTCACTGGGCCATTACCTCATTTTCCACAGGAGGGAACTGAGGCTCAGGGAGAGTAGGTTCAGTTATAGCCACACCTCACCAGGATCTGGGCTGTGTGTGAACATGTGTGTGGTGTGTGTGTGTGTGTGTGTGTGTGTGTGTGTGGCCTGACAGCCATTGCGTACCCAGCCTTTCATACTGCTTGCTCTGAGAGCTGGGTGCCTAAGGACTCAGGTGAGACGAGCAGGGCTGGGAGTAACCAGGCAGTGGGCAACAGGATGGAGCCCTGGTATGTTCCATGCTGGGGGCTGGCGACAGCCAAGGAATTGTCCTAAGATCCTTTTGGTTTCCCTCTGTTTTCTTGGAAGCAGTCACAGAAACCAACCTTTGATTTGTTCCACTTCATCCTCAAAGGTCACCGAGCTCCTTCTCTTGGGTGGGCAAGTGCAGTGAGAGGGAGGGCTGTCATCAGACGTGTAGTCCTCAAGCAGCATCACGTCTGTCCCTAGAACAACGGGCAGACTGCGCATATATAACTACAGTCCAAAGTCCTCCTGGCCTCTGCCCCCTCTCAGCACCCCTTCCTCCCCTTTCTCCCGTTCATCCAAACCCATAATCAAGCGCAGCTGACTGCCCCGCAGCATTTGCCCAAGAAATGCCCACCTGCCATCCTATTGCAGGGAGTTTGCAGACAGCCAGTGAGGCTGCTTCAGCCGCGCAAAAAAAATGCAGCCAACTTATGTGAGGTAGGGGTGTGTGTGCCACAGTGACCAGACCCAGAAGCGTGGCATCTGCCAGCCTGGCATGAAAGGGACGTGGGGAGAAGGGCAGAGTCGAGGAGACGGTCCTATTAAAAGGAAGTTTATATTCTGAGCGATTCTTCTTACAGTCTGAATTTCTATCACCACAGCTAAAATATGGTGTACTAAATAAATATTTAAAGCTCCAAAATGTAGAGTTCTTTGGGGATCAAAAAATAATTGACAAATATACCCCTAAAAAGTGGGGAAAGAAAGGCAGAAGGTCAGGGAAATCCTCCTAGAGATAAGTGGGCAGAGCAGGCAGAGGGAAGAAGATGGGGCAGAGGGAAGGAAGGGCTGAGGTGGGACTCATCACTCAACAGTGCCCTGCCCAGACCCCAGAAACAGTGTAAGATCCAACCCTGTTCTTAGCTTCCAGCTTTCAATCCATCAAGGCCTTGAAGCTCAGAAAATGAGGAAGAAAAGGAAGCCTGGAGCTCTTCAGATGCTGTTTCAGAGCACCTCGCAGAGGTGTGATTACCCGACACACAGCAAAAACAGTCCCTCGGGAGGTAGAATATGGTGGTTAAACACACAGGCTGGGGTCGGACAGGCCTAGGATCTATGGCAGGTTATTTAATGCCTCAGTATCTTTCCACATCTGTAAACCGGGGGCCATCAGTCAGTCTACCTCCCGGAGTTGTGGGGATTTCGAATTGAGACATGTAACCATCTGGCACAGTGCTTGCACACAGCAGGGGCTAAATCAATGGCCGTCACTCCTGATAAGGACACAGCGAACAAAGGGCAGGGCTGAGACTCACACCAGGTCTGTGGGCCCTGAAGCCCATGTTCACTCTCTCTTGCTCTTTTGCTCACTCGCACTCTCTCTCTCTCTCTCTCTCTCTCTCCTTCCTTCCTTCCTTCCTTCCTTCCTTCCTTCCTTCCTTCCTTCCTTCCTTCCTTCCTTTCTTTCTTCCTTCCCTTCCTTCCTTCCTTCCCTCCCTCCCTCCCTCCCTCCTTCTCTTGAGTTTCACCCTTGTTGCCCCGGCTGGAATGTTATGGGACAATCTCAGCTTACTACAACCTCTGCCTCCCAGGTTTAAGCAATTCTCCTGCCTCAGCCTCCTGGGTAGCTGAGATTACAGGCAAGCACCACTATACCTGGCTAATTTTGTATTTTTAGTAGAGATGGGGTTTCACCATGTTGGTCAGGCTAGTCTCAAACTCCTGACCTCAGGTGATCCAACCACCTCAGCCTCCCAAAGTACTGGGATTACAGGCTTGAGCCACTGCTCCCAACCCATGCTCTTTCTTCTGCCTACAATGCTATCCCAACACGACCTGCTCCGAGCAGCCTCTCTAACTCCCCTACCCATAGCACCCACAGGTTCCCACTCTGGCTTCCCCTCTCACAGCTCTCCACACGTTCATCGTCTTTCAAAAACTTTTATAGAGATGTAATTCGCACGCCATGTAACTAACTCATTTAAAGTATACCATTCAATGAGAATTGTGTGGTATCCTTTACAATCTTCATGTACTTTACAGTTCAGTCTTTTATGAACTGAATCCTCCACAACAGTGGCATTTCACCACTGTGCCCCCAACACCTGGCACAGGGTCTGGCCAAGGCAGGGACGTGGCAACTGTGTGCTGAATAAATGAACGTCACCTCTGGATCCCTTTAGTTCTCTGGGAATGGGGAAGCGACCTGAGCAGTGACAGAGACTTTCCTCCCCCACCTCCCCACCTCCCCTTCCTCACCTTCCCCACCTCCCCTGTCACCCCACTTCCCCACCTCTTCCACCTCCCCACCTCTTCATCTCCCCACCTCCACATCCCCACCTCCCCCACCACCCACTTCCCCACCTCCCCACCTCATCTCCCCACCTCCCCCAGCCACCTCCCCACCTCCCCTGTCACCCCACTTCCCCACCTCCCCCACCTCCTCACCTCCACATCCCCACCTCCCCACCACCTCCCCACTTCCCCACCTCCCCACCTCTCTGGCACCATGGCTCTAATGCCTGGAAGCTGACCGCTCAGATAAGGTGCAGCCCTGGGCTTATGCCCTGCAGGATTTGTGGTGGAGATGCATTTCTACAGGGAGACGGAGTTTCACGCCAGCCGACATAGAGTGAGGTGACAAGGCAAGGGGGAGAGACCCCTCTGCGGCAAGAACAAGATGAGTGCTTCATATTCATTAGGTTTCTCAATTCTCACAGCTGCCCTGTGATGAGGATTAGTACCCCCATTTTGCAGATGGGGAAAGTTGGGGGCTTAGGAGGAGATCATAAACTTGCTTGAGATAACACAGCTCGTAAAAAGCCAGCCGGAGACTGAAGACCTGGCAGGCTGACTCCAGGGCCTGTCTGGGCCATGGTTATTATCATCACAGTCATTTCTCCTTTTAACTTTGCAAGAGCTTTCACTCACTTTCAACCCCCCAATAACACCGTGCGGCAGAGAGAACAGGAACTGAGAGCCCCATTTTGTAGAGGAGGAAACCGAGACACAGGAAAGCTGAAAAGTCAAAGCCAGGACTGGAAACCCACTTTTCACCCCCACCCCCTGTGGGAAATGCCCCTCCACCAGCAACAGGCAAGAGGCTGAAAAAGCACGCAGGTTACCTGAGTCCTGGGAACAGCTGAAGCCAGTGTCCCCCGTGCTGCTGCTGTGCCCCAAGGGCTGACCGCCCACCATGAGCGCCGTGAGGTGCGGGGACAGGCCCAGGTCTGAAAGGCAAAATTGGAATTGACAACACAATCACATCCTGCAAAGAGGGGCCAAGCCTCAGTTTCCCCACAGACCCATCTCTTGTCCTCCCTCCTCCCTTGCAAAACTCACTCTCCACTCCCTGAAACATAGGAGCCCTTAGCAGCTCCCTCCCGGCCCACCCCTTTTTCTGTCCCCCTGTGTCAGCAGCATTCACTGGGTTCCCACAAAGGGGAAGCTCTGCTGACAACGTCACACACCACCAAGGCGATGACAGAGGGCCAGGGAGCAAAACCAAAAACAGAAAAAGCAAAACCAAAATGCGAGGTGAGAAGATCTTCCTGTTAAAGATGGGCGGTCCAACCCCACACTGACCTCCTGATATCCTGCTTGACTTACCAAAGAGGGATTTTTTAGGAGGCTTACACTCCAAAAGAAGGGGAGAATTTTTGTAAGCTGGAAAGCAGATGGGTGAGAGTGGTGAGCTGACCTGGAATAGAGAACTGAGGTTGGCGACAGGAGGTCTGGGACGAGGCAGAGGCTTCACCAGGCTTCCGAAAGCCCAGGAACAGGTGAGGGGGTTGTGGGCCAGGAGACAAGGTCTCCACAAGAAGCAGCTGGCCCTGCCACTGCTCTTCCCCACGCTGGGCCTCGGGTGCCAGACCCCAGTGTTGAGGGGAGAGGAGTGAGCCCCGGCACAGCCACAGCAGAAGTGACACACTAAAAACTGAGGGAATCGTGGAAATTTCCGTATTAAATAGTGGTCCCCTGGCCCCTGGTCCCACTTAACATGGGCTGGAGTCTGGAGAACTCTTCCCTGGGAAAATCCACCAAGCCAAGAGAAAAGCTGAGCAGCACTGAGATCCCAGCGCCTGTGAAACAGCCCTGCCAGACCCAGCACCGTCGGGAAGCCTGCCTGCACCCCATGGCCCAGGACTTCCTGTGGCTTTCTAGAGCATCACTGTTAGAGGTGAAGGGATGCCCAAGGATCACTAGACATTTAAGGAAAGGTACAAGCGTGAAAGACAGATGGAGCCGGGTGTGGTGGTTCATGCCTATAGTCACAGCACTTTGGGAGGCTGAGGCGTGTGGATTGTGAGGTCAGGAGATCGAGACCATCCTGGCCAACATGGTAAAACCCCATCTCTACTAAAAGAACAAAAATTAGTTGGGCGTGGTGGCACGCACCTGTCATCCCAGCTACTCGGGAGGCTGAGTCAGGAGAATCGCTTGAACCCAGGAGGCGGAGGTTTCAGTGAGCAGTGATTGTGCCACAGCACTCCAGCCAGGCAACAAGGCAAGACTTTATCTCAAAAAAAAAAAAAGTGGGAAAACAGAAAAGAAAAATGGACTTCAGGGGATTCAATGAGCAGGGAGCTTAAGAAAGCAAAACATTACAATGAGGCATCCTGAGAATGTTAGGAAATAAAAAATCCATTAAAACAAGAGCTGCAGGAAAAGGGAACGTGGAGATAACAAAATGCTCTTAGGAATTAAAAATAGAGAACAAGAAGTCACACTCCTCAGGTCTCACGAAGGTCTACTGTCTGGCAGATTTTGTGATCTGCCATAAAGGACACTCTTGTATTTTATGACACACTCACAGACAGGAGGAGACCCCATTCCTTCATTCTACCCTAACTCTTCAGAGGTTAGCACTTTCTCCTTTCTTCCCTGGAACCAAGGAGGACGTGGTGTGGGAGGGAGGGGTGGCCACAGCAGGCTTCTCTCAGAACTTCCCTCTTGCTGCTTTTGAGAATCCTACTTTGGCAAGGGGTCTTCCCCTCGACTGGGGGTTGGTGTAGGGAGCTGGGACCAGAAAGACCCCAATTCTCTCCCCTGCACATGACCATCCTACCATGGTCTTGGCCTGGGAACATGACTGTTCAACAGGAGGCCTGGCGCAGGGAGCAGAGCCTGTGGGGGCATTCCCTGCCAGCTGGGATGGCTGAAGCCACAGTGGGTTTTGGACACTGTCTCTGAGGCTGCGGTGAAAGCCAGGAACATGTCTTGGTCTGCACCCATGGGAGGCACGGTCTGAGCCAGGCCAGTGTGGCTCAGCTAAAGGTCTGGAAACAGGGCAGCCAGGTGGCATCCCTCTCCTCTGTGTTTATGCAGCATTTACCAGCGGAGGGTGGAGACAATTACCCTGAGATTGTTCACATGAAACAATATATTTACTGGGTTGAGCCCAATCCAACCCCTCGAAAAAAAAAAAAGCACAAAGGCACTGGCTCGGGGGATCAGGTTTGCGGCTCTCCAGAGGCATGGGTAGGAAAAGTCACAGTGCTCTGAGAAGCTGAAAGAACAGGGGCATGATTCTAAGATGAATTTGCAGGTACTCTGAGGTAACTAGAAGACCTCTAGGGGCCATCAGCAAAGAAATTTAGGAAGACGAGGGAGTAAATTCAAAGGCTCTGAGGTCACCCTCCCTGCCCTCGAGCCAGGCCCTCCTGAGGAAGGACCTGCTGCGAGGCATTTTCCCCTCTTGAGTCAGTGTCCTTCATAGGAGATGAAAGGCTCTATGCCCAGTGACAGGAGCATCAAGGGTCTTATAAGGGCGGTGTTTGGAGGGGTCTTATAAGGGCGGTGTTTGGACCCTGACACTGCCCGGGTCATCCTCCCTGGCTGGGGAGAGGGGTGGTGCTCAGGCTCTCCAGGCCTGGCTGGAGGGAAGGCTCAGGGTCTGCCAGTGGAAGGGTGGGCAGAGGGGCTGCCTGTGCTTTCTCCTGAAGCCCCTTCTTGGCTCCCATCATCAGTAGCCACCAGTCAGCTTTGGGTTGGTGCTTTAGCATCCTAAGATCACATGGTAGCATTGAGCATTTAGCGATGTCCACACAGGGCTGACCTATCCACCCCATGGTGGCACTGCGTGGCAACCTCCAGGAAGTCCAGAGATCTAAATTCCTAAGTGACCTTCCCTTTGGGAATTGGCTAAGGAGACCTCACAATCAGAAGATATTTGGTGGCCCAGTGACATTTGGCACCCAGGGGAAGCCTAAGATTTTGTACTTCTTCATTCTGACAATGAGAGAACCAGAACCACTGATTATGGCTGAAATCTGCTAGATATAAAGGACACACTGTCAGGTGTCCATGAGACTCCTGACATCCAAGTGAGCAGGGAAGCTCCAGACACATGTGGGATTCTTCTTCCGCCTTTGCTCATATGCACCACTTTCAGGAAAGCTTGTTCCATGTACTGATTTCTTTGGATAAACCTTTCCAAGTGCCCATACAAACTGACGCAAACAGAACCAAGAAAAAGCCTCTGAGTTGTTTCTTGCTGGCTTTGAGACAGATCAGATCAGCCTTCTTGCCTCTTGTTAACACTAACATGAGCCAGTGGCAGGGGAAGTGACTGGGGTTCCAGAATCTGCTGCAGATCAAAGCCTTGTCCATAGAGGGTCTGGTCAGCCCTGGCTCAGACAGAGGGACCAGGGACATGAGGCAGAGGCCAGGACTCTCTCCTGCAGTCAGAAAGCCATGGACAGTGCAGGGTGGGCAGCTGGGCTGGGGCACTGCATTCTGCTTTGGTTCTCTGACTCTTACTGACGCCTCCTCCGGGATCAGGACCTTCTGAAAACGACAAAAGGAACCATCCCCCACCCCCACCCAGCTCCCATTCCTTGGAAAGGCCAACGACTCAGCACCCATCCCACAAGCTCTTCAGCCCAAAAGCATCCCACAAGCCTGCTTTCCCTAAATGAGGCTGAGACTGCCAGCTGCCTGGGACGTGCCAAAGCAACCACAGCTGGTGTTTTCTGCCTGTGCTCACAGCTTCACCAGCTCTTCTAGGACACTTGCAAGTGACCTGCATGGAAAATCCTGGCCCAGAAAGCAGGTGTTTCTTCCTGTTCTAGGAACCCTTCCCTGCTCCATTTTCTGTTGTTTTTTTCCTTCCTCATTTTAACTTCATTAATGTAGAAAATCTATTATTTTTTGCCTAGAAGACAAGTGATTTTACCAAATCTGGACTAATACATTAATGAGTGGAATGAAGCCAGACATTGAATGTGCTCCAGGATCATAAGCCATGTGAAAATGAGGGCTTCAACTGGCGGGGGGTGGGGGGGCGCATTTCAGCGGTTGAAATGCTGAGGTACAGAGAAGTTTATTTCCTCCTATGGTTAAAAGTCCCAGCTCCCTTCCTCTCTGGGAAACAAAACTCCATCAGTCCATGAAATAAATCAGTGATGCTGCTGTGTCTCATCACCACATGGAAAGGACCTCCTGTCATCATTGCCACTGGGTGTTCATAATTAGGAGTCATTATTTCTTTCACTCTCTTGAGAGGAAAAGTGGAGGACCTCTCTATTTCATGAAGAGGAAAAATTAACTAGAGTGGTTTGAAGAGTTGCCCAAAGTCATCTGGCAAGAGATGAGAACTGCATTCTGAGCTGAATGTCCTCAAAATCTGTCCTCCAGTGGTGTGGCCAGGTGATGGTCTCCCTTCAACCTGGCCCTAAATCCAGCTACTTGACCTCCAAACTATACAGTAAAAACTGCTAGAGGGAAAATCCACAAACATGTCCTAATCAGTGGGAGAAGGCCAAAGTGGAAACAGGGCATTTGCATCATCTTAGAGTACCTACTCAGTTGTAATTACTAATTACAATGGGAAAACTAGCGGCTTTACTGCAGAGAAAGCTGACAGGCGCCACCTTAACCGAGAGATCAAGGTAAGACAGCTAGCAATAAGGCATATCAGCATGTGTGCCTCCTGCTATGATGTACAGGAAGGGCACGTCACCCCTGCGGCATTCTTGCCAGAAATGAATAACCTCTTTCTAATCTTGAGAAAGCATCAGATGAGCATGAATTAAGGGCACTCTACAGAATACCCGACAAGGACTCTACAAGGCTGTCAATGTCATAAAAGACAAGGGAAGAATAAAGGATCGTCAAAGATTGACTCAAGCAAGATGAGATCCTGAGCTGGGTCTTTGGACGAAGGGCATTAATGAAGAAACAGGTGAAACCTGAATCAAGTCTGTGGTTAACAGCAATGCCCCAGTGTTAACGTTTAGAGCTGACCACTGTGCTACGGGTTTTGCGGACAGTAATACTAGAGGAAGCTGGGTGTATGGGAATTCTCTGTATTGTTTTTCCACATCTTCTGTAAATCTAAAATTATTTCAAAATAAAAAGTTTTAACAAATCTAACCCCTAACTAGAGTAATTCCTCCAGGTCCCACCAAAGGTGGTGGGATTGTGTCCCGAAACCTGTGCACACCGGATCAGTCACCAGAGGCAGGAGCAGCCTCGCACATACAAGGCAATGATGTTCAATGGAGGGCTGAGGTTTGGCATGGACACCCCTGGACTGTCAGACACCAACTGAGGGAGGAAACCACTGATCTGTGAGGAAGAGGATGGTCGAGGACGAAGACAGCAGCTGAGGCAGGGAGGGAGCGCTGACAAGAGGAAACACTGAAGGATGTGGATGTGCCAAGGAGAAGGTGGCCTGGTGCCATGCTTGGATTCTTTTTCCTCTAGTGAAGAAGTAACTGTACTCTGGGCTGGGCGCCGTGGCTCATGCCTGTAATCCCAGCACCTTGGGAGGCTGAGGCGGGCAGATCATTTGAGGTCAGGGGCTTAAGACCAGCCTGGCCAACATGGTGAAACCCATCTCTAATAAAAACATGAAAAGTAGTTGGTGTGGTGGTGCATGCCTACAATCCCAGCTGCTCAGGCACAATAGTCACTTGAATCAGGGAGGCAGAGGCAGAGGTTGCAGTGAATGGAGATTGTGCCACTGCATTCCAACCTGGGCGACAGAGAAAGACCCTGTCTCAAAAAAAAAAAAAAAAGAAAGAGAGAGAGAAGTAAGTATATATACTTGGGAAACCAGAGGGCCATGGCTGGGGTTTCAGAAAGCAGATTTCTGGACCGTGGTGTCCGTTCCCCTGCCCGACTCTTTCGGGATGCATACCAGGGCACCAGGGAGCTCTGCTGGCATCATCAGATGGCCATGAGCTGCTGAGTACTGGGAAGCGGCTGGGAATCACGACGGAGCCTCTGGAATGTTTCTTCCCAAAGAAATCTGTACTTTGAGCCTTACGGCCACCGTTGGCCTGAGAATGGCTGAGAGGACCACAGATTTCATCTGCCTCTGAGGGGCTATCCTAATAATGCCCAAGTTACCTGTGATCCTGTTGGAAATGCTGAAGAGCCTGGAAGTCCTCTGTCGTTGCACAAACGGCTCCCGATAATACCGATCCCCAAAGCACATGCCCAGTAGTTCTTTGCGAACTGTCTTGTTCCAGAGTCCATAGATCAGGGGGTGGCAGACAGCGCTGGCAAAGGACAGCCATGTAGCCCAAGTCTCCAGGCTCGGAGAGACGGAGCTCTTCCCCCAGAGGGCCTCAGAGGCAATGACAACCATGTAGGGGCCCCAGGTGACCATGAAGGCACCGAGGACCACCAGGATGGTGATGAGGGCTTTGCACTGGTTGGCTGAGTAGACCACACCCTGAAAGGCGTTCCTCCTACTGCCTGAAGAGGAGGTGGAGGTGCTGGAGTTCTTCCTCCCGGTCCTCTGGGCATCCTCCTCCACGATGACTGTGCCGCAGTGCACCTTGCGTGCCTTGACCCTGGCCACGCGGAAGATGAAGCCATAGCACACCAACATGACCAGAAAGGGGAAGAGGGCACACCAGATCTGCCAGAAGGCCGTGTAGCCAGGCTCCCGGTGCCAGGCAGCCACACACATCCACTTGAACTCGTCAAACTCCACCGATGACCAACCAAACAGGGGCGGCAGGCAGCCGATGAGCGAGTGAAGCCAGATGTAGGCAAGTGCCATCACGGCCCGGTTAGCTGTGATCTTCATGGGGTACACCATGGGGTACAGGACAGCATAGTAGCTAGAAAAGGGATGGAGGGGGGCAAGAGAGAGGAGTCAGTGGAGAGAGAACACACCAGGATGGCACCTGCTGCTTTCCTGTGTCGGGGGCTCCCGTGGCTGGGTTGGATGTTTCTAAAAGCAGCACCTTCTCCCAGGTCTCCCCAGACAAGTTATAGAGACTGCACCACGTTCCACGGTTCTGCAGAGCTCTTCAGCAGAGGAGAGCTCAATGCCGGCAAGACGTGGAGCTCGAGCAGTCCTGTTTCCAAGTCACCAACCAGAGCCCACTCATATTTGGGGGTGTGGCCAGTCTTGAGATGCCTACAAGGCTCCTGAGGGATGCTGTATCGGGCCATATCAATTCTGCTGCTACTGACATTAATCCATTTAGATCACTTTAGAGGGATCATTAAGAACTAGAATGATGTTGAAGGACTATGGGCTTCATTCAATCAATGGACATTTACTGAAGGCTTGCGATGTGCCAATCACTGTGCTATGTCCTGGAAATGCAGTTGAGAAGATGTGAGGAGGCAGACACCTGAGCCAAGTATGAGGGCCTGGAGCAGTAAGGGCCACATGGAGTCCTCACGGCAACTGTGAGCAGCAGGTATGTCATTATCCTCATTTTATAGATGAGGACATTAAAGCACGGAAAGGCTAAATAACCCATCCTGGACCCACAGGAGAAAGACATAAACCCAGGCAGTCTGACACTGCGATCCCCAGTGCACATGCCCAGCAGTTCTGTGTAAGCTTTCTTGTTCCACAGCCAAGGAGACGGTTCTAGGAAGGAGGTGGGCCAGGAGTGCTAGCCATTCAAACTGGTGGGTTCTGATTCAGGACAGAGGGTCATGGCAGGCTCCCCATGGAGGTGACGCTCCAGACCCAGGTCTCACAGTGTTGGAGGCACTGGCCCAGGACCCGCCCAGGCAGAAAGCTCTCCTGGTGAGGTATGGAGATGTGAGTAAGCACTAGCTCAGCGGGGAGGCTGCATGGAGCTCCACTGCAGAGAGAGAGTGCGAGAGTGCAGGATGGAGAGAGGAGAGAAGCCGGCCCCGTGGGCGGGGCGGGGGCATTAGAGCCTTGTAGGCCCAGCTAGGGACTGGCCCTTTAACTGGAAAGGGTGGGAGGACTTAGGCCACGGGGCTGAAAGTCAACCACCTCCCTCCCAACCCAGACATTTCACCCAAGGGAAATAGGATGTTCCCATGAGTGCAACATGTGGAAGGGACGGGTGGCCACACTTATGCTGCCTAGCACAGGCAGGATCTTGGGAAATGACTGTGGCTGTGTGCCTCACACATCGCCTGGGAAGCCGGCTCCTCCACAGGGACCACCTTGAGTCACCCTTGGGCCCCAGCAGCTGAACTGCCATGTGCTAACTGGAGGTGCTGCCTCCTTGGTCTTCCTAAGCAGGGGTGAGCCTAGGGTGGCCCTGAGCTGAGCCTTGAGCCCAGGCCAGGATCTATCCTGGAAAGAGAGCATTTCAGGCTGCGGGGCCTGAGAAGATTGCACAGTGATTAGGGTGTTGATTACAGAATCACTGCACAGTGGCTGGGGTAAGGTGATTACTATCTTACCCTGCTATCTGGGCTTGTATCTTGCGAAGGCCATGCAGCCCAAGGGAAAAAGCATGCCTTTGGAGCTGGAAATTCAAGTTCACATGGAGGCTCTGATGTCTACTAGCTGTGTGAACTCAGCTAGCTGATGTAACCTCTCAGAGCTTCAGTTCCCTCATCTGGAAAATGGGAATTCTGGCACCCACATCACAGGTCTGCCCCTAGGAACGAACATGGAAAAGGCCGGGATGGTGCTTACCCTTCAAGGGGGACTGGCCATTGACCTTCCCCGCTTCTTCCTTGAGGACAAGAGCCCTACACTGCTCCTGTGATGACTCACAGGGGACACTGGCCCTTCTGAGTCCTGGGGGGGTGAACAAGCCACATGGTGGTCTACCTTCCCCTTGTGGGTGGCCTGCTGAGTCTTGGACCTGTCTGACGTCATTCTGGCAAATGAAATGTGAGGGGGTTGCTAGGGTGGGACTGGGGGGAGGGGAGCGGTGGGTCTAGGAAAGTTTCCTTCACTTTTCAAAAGAAACAAGGCAGAGATTTCTCCTTTTCTTTAAAGAGAATGCAGGCGCTCCACCCTCAGTCACCTTGGGAGGGTCCAGCCAGTTGAGGGAGCCAGGCCTGGTGAATGTTCACCTAGGCCTCCTTCGGCCAACCCTGTTTGGCAGCCATAAAAATGATAACAATTAATGTGCCGTCCTCTGCCAGATTTCCTTCTGGCTCTTCTCAACACCCAGTTATTATTATTACTTGATGGCAAGATTTCTCTTTCACTTTAATAGATGGTACCCATATCACTCACTGACAGGTTCAGGCACGGGCAGTTCCAGTGTGACATGACAGTGATTTCTCCCAGCTGCACCCTGAGTCCCATCAGGAAGCCGGGGCAGTGATGCTGGGTGCTGGCTCAGACAAGGTCAGCCTCCTGCAGTCAGAAAAGCCCCACAGGCACAGCCCTGCCCTTGCACGGCCACGTCCTCCAGGGGTTATTTTGCTTTTAAGGTTTATTTTCAGGGGTGGGGAATAAAATGCATGTACATTGAAATGCACGCATCTACACTTCTATCAAGATACAGAACACTGGCAGAGGTGAGTGGATCAGCAGGTCAGGAGTTCAAGACCAATCTGGCCAACAGAGCGAAACCTCATCTCTATTAAAAATACAAAAAATTAGCCAGGTGTGGTGGTGCTGTGCACCTGTAATTCCAGCTACTGGGAAAGTTGAAGCAGGAGAATGAGATGAACCCAGGTTGTAGTGAGCCGAGATTGCACTCTTGCACCCCAGCCCGCGTGGCAGTGCGAGACTCTATCTCAAAAAAAAAAAAAAAAAAAAAAGATACAGAACATTCCAGCCAGGTGCAATGGCTCACATCTGTAAACTCAGCACTCTGGGAGGCCAAGATATGAGGATTACTCGAGGCCAGGAGTTTGAGACAGCCTGGGCAACATAGGGAGACCTCCTCTCTACAAAAAATATGTATGTTTTAATTATCCAGGTGTGCGCCTATAGTCTCAGCTACTTGGGAGGCCGAGGTGGGAAGAGGATCACTTGGGCCCAGGAGGTCAAGGCTGCAATGAGCCATGATTGCTCCACAGCAATCCAGCCTGGGTGACAAAGCAAGACCCTGTCTCAAAAAAAAAGAAAAAAAAAAAAAAGATACAGAACAGTCCTACATCTCCTCAGAAAAAAATGGGTACGTATGGTCTCAATCACAGATATATCAAGTCCTTTATCGCAGCGGAAGCCTCATTTAGGCCTAACTGAAGATTCAAGGGAAAACAATAAAAGCAACTCCCCACTCCTGTGTGGGCTGATAATACCAACAGAGGGGTTTTCTTTTGCTCTCTATTCTCCAGCTATCTTCTGAGGCTTTCAGTCTTTCCTCCAACAATTAGTTTTTAGACATGAGCCCAATCATGACCCTTGAACCCCAAAGAGGCTTTCATGATGTCACAGGTAACTGACAAGCTGTAATATGGGAAAGAGCTTCCGATGCTTCATGCTCCTGCCACAAGACCAACCGCTCTGAGAGCAAACCCCGCTCTTAATGAGTTGTCTTCAGTGGAAACAGAAACAGAATCTCAGCCAACTTCACCTACTGGAGCAGGGAACACATTACCGTACATGGAACAGCCTCCTAAAAGCACTAGTCACCTCTGCTAACACTACCCATCCCGTGTTCTAGCTACTTCCACGTACTGAAATTCTATTTTGAAACCTGGAGTTTCACCCGCTGTGGTGTGGAATGAAAATATGAGACCTATTCTCCACAGACCTGGAACTCTGGCAGCTTCGCAGCAATGACAGAGGTGACCCCCGTTACAGGCTTATTCTAAGTAATAGATGTTCACAGTGGAACCAGTGGCAGGTCAGATGGTGGCCTCAGCAGACCCTACTTCCACTTGGCTGGTTTAGGACATTGACGAACTGTGACCTTCACTCCAGGCAGCCAGTCCTTTTATGTCTGTCTTTGCTCTTTTCATGGGGCTACAAGATGACTCTGTGGCTTCATCTGTCCAGCCAGTTTCTTTAGCTAAGGTTCTCAGTTGGGAACCCCTGGGTATATGTGGCAATGTCTATAGACATTTTGGGCTGTCACGGCTGGGGAGTTGTTCCAGCATACGGTGGGTAAAAGCCAGGACACTGCTGTATATCCTACAAGGCACAGGACAGCTCCTCACCACAGAGAATTATCTGGCCTGAAAAGTCAACAGTGCTAAGGTGGAGAAACTCTAGCTGCTGCTGGGCTTGACTGGCGGCACTGAGTTGACAGTGCTGGATAATGACAAAGCATCCAGGCTTGGGCATCTCAGAACTAGGGGAGTTACTTACCAGCCCCGCAGCCTTGGGCAAGTGACCTTTGAGACCTTAAGGTCCCAAAACCTCACTTTGCTCACCTGCAAAATAGGGGCTAACAGGCTTGTCATGAGGGTTAGCTGAGCTAAATGTGGATAAACAGTATGCATAGTGCAGTGCCTGGCACACAATAAGCGTGTAAAGCTTTATAGCTAAAATCACACCCACTGCCCTTGTTCTTCTCCACTTCTACTTTCTTTTCTTTTCTTTTTTTGAGACAGAGTTCCACTCTTATCATCCAGGCTGGAATGCAATGGCACAATCTCAACTCACTGCAACCTTTGCCTCCGGGTTCAAGTGAGTCTCTTGCCTCAGCCTCCTGAGTAGCTGGGGTTATAGGCACCTGCCACCATGCCCAGCTAATTTTTGTATTTTAATAGAGACAGGATTTTATCATGTTGGCCAGGCTGGTATTGAACTCCTGACTTCAGATGATCCGCCCACCTTGGCCTCCCAAAGTGCAGGGGTTACAGGTGTGAGCCACATGCCCAGCCTCAGCATGTTTATTCACCTTATTCAGCTATGTATTCCCAGCACCAACCACTGTGATAGGCATACATTAAGTGCTCAATAATTGCAAATGAATACATGGAAGCTGCTCCTTCAGTGAGAAGGGGGCTCTCTGCCTCTTACACACCCGTGCTATGCTACTTGCTGTTTAGGAGCCTAACTCAAATGCCACCTTCTCCCTGAAGCACTTGCTGCCCAGCCCATCAGCAGTGATGGCTGGTGGAGTTGTCTATGGCAGTTATTTCTACTTCTGTGTTAAATCAGCACCCACAAGTCAGCCTCTGCCACTGGACTGGAAACCCCTGGTGGGCAGGATCTGTGTCCTGCTCATGCTTATAGCCCACCACCCCAAGGATTCGGCATGGGCCTTTCCTGGAATAGACATCCAACCATATTCCCAGTGTCAAATGAGGCACTGAAAGAGGTAAATCTTCTCTCAGATGAAGTACTTTGCTGGCGTGATTTGAGGATTTGTCGCGCTTGCTGGTAGAAAGTCTCATTCTCACTCATCTAGACCACAGATTTAAGCAAGTAGCTTACAGCGTCCTGGAACTAACCCTGCAGATGCCCCCGGCATGCTTACTGAGCATCCATACAGACACAGTTCCGAGAGGGGCACCTAGAGACCAGCTCCCCATCTCTGCAGCTAAGCTGTTCATCCTCAGTCCATGTTCCACAGGTCCCAGGGCCCAGGAAGGGATGTTCAAAACTTAATAATTCAAAAAAATTAAAGTTAAAACATTGAGATCCCATTCCTCCCCATTGCCAACAAATTTCCAAACTTTCTTTAAAAAATGTTATATAATCAGTGCTGATAGGATATTGACAAACAGCTGCTGAAGTACAAATCTGTACAACTTTCTGAAGGGTCATTTGCCTTTTATATATCAAGAATCTTGAAAGCATGTTTATTGTTACTGAGAATACAGCAATTCCACAACACACACATGCTCCTCAGAATGCTATAGAGAATAGCAAGCTATATGAGGCCACCTAAACCAGGAATAGGGGACTGTAAAAATAATTTATAAACCTCCACAGGATGGAATACCTCATAACCGTGAAAAATCACCTTCTTCTTTACAGAATGTCTGCAAAGAAGAGAAAAGGCTCACAATCACCTAAATGAAAAAAGGAGGTCAGAAAACCACAGGTGCCAGAAGCCTGTTTCAAAAACTTGCTGTATACAACCAAAAATTACTGGAAGCAAATATACTAAAACCATAAACAGTGATTGCTTCTGATTAGATGATGAGTGTTTCGAATTTCATTCATTGTATTTTCTGTATTATCACCTAAGGGAAAAAAGAAGAAGCTAATTGATTCATTTTGACCAATGGCTTCATTGGTTCTGCCTCCACAACGCAGCCACAAAGAGCTGCCAGATTCCAGGCTCAGGTCTAGCTGCAGCCTGTGCTCTGGTGGACCATTCTACTACCACTCATCGGTTGAAAAACTGACAGTGTCAAAAAAGCCCGGGGACTTGTCTCACCCAGTGACAACACCCCTGGCTAGCCCCACTCTGTGTTTTCCCTGACCCCACTACTTACTCCCCTCCCCAATTCCTGTAAATCACACATACGTTGAATCTATCCTCCCTGTCCTCATGAAGTGGCCCTTAGCAAAATTCTAATAAATGCACTCATTTGTGGGAAACTCGCTGCCAAAGCCCACGAGACTTGTACAACTAAATCTGACAGCTTAATGTGGGAACCTGAAGAACCCTCAATATGCCACTTAGGAACATCACCTCCCTGTGCACTGGTGACACTGAGGGCAGGGGCAGCCCGAGTTACCAAATGTGCACACTGCCTCTCCCCGGTGTCACTGCTTGTATTCTCTGGCTGTTTTCCCTCCCCTTGCTCTCCTTCCAGTCCTGGACTGTGGGGAGTGAGGATGTGTTGAGAAATGCTGAGTGTATGATAAAGTATATTGTTTGCTAAGAAGAACCATGAGAAGGAAAACCTAGCCACCACCCTCTCCCCACAGGTAGAAAACTACTTGGGGCATTCTAAAGTAGCAAGATAGTATATGCATATCACAGACCAGTTAAAACAATTCTTTAAGTGCGGGATATGTGACCCTGCCCCATGGCTCCCTTGTGGAGAATACTCTTTAGTTTGTCCATGATTAGTGGTAAGTGGGCACCAGCTGCCTTCCTGGTTTATCTTGGTGCTATGAGAAAACACAGAACACCTGTGGTGATGATTATTCACCACAGAACACTCGTGATTATAACACAGAACAACTGTTTGATAATAATCATCACCACAGGTGATAACCTCCTCATAACCACCTCATAACACCAAGAAATATGTGGGTCAGAGTCTGCCTGAGGCCCTCAGCCCAGAATGCTGTCAGTCCCCTGAGGCTCTCAGCTCAGAAGGCTGTTGACCCCCTACATAGTCCCACCTTGCTGTTCTATCTGGGTGTTTGCCTCCAATTCCTTCCACGCTGCCTGGGTGGGGGTCTCTGCAGCTGAGCTGGACTCGGGAAGGGTGCGCCCTGTGTGGGCTCCACTGGTCAACACCAAAGCAGGACAGAGCAGGAGTCACACTGGGAGAAAGTACAGCAGAGTCAAGGGCCCTGGCCCCAAGGCTGCTCGGAACTGAAACCTGCCGCGGCTCGGCTTCTTCATCGACAAACCAAGAATCAGAGGTTTCCAGAATGTTCTATTTTAGGCAGTGGAACCTCTTTCTAAAATATAAAATTGTATGTAACATACACAGACAAAATGAGACATGGTCTGGTTGAAGATGTGGCTGCAGAGGCAGAACTCTGTCTGGTCATCCTCCCCTGGCAGGGGCCCCTGACCCTCACCAGGGAACTAAGGCAGTCAGAGGGACACTGCACCAGATGAGCTTCCATCCGCAATCCCTCAATTTTCTAAGTCTGAGGCATGCTTACCGGTCGATGGCAATTACCCCGAGGGTGAGCATGCTGGCCGAGCTGATCAGCAGGTAGAGGAGGGCGGAGAAGTTGCACCAGACGACACCAAAGATCCATTCCCTGCGGATACAGCTTGTCACCACGAAAGGGAGCACCAACACGGACAGCAGGAAGTTGGACAGGGTCAGGCTGAAGACGAACTTGTTGCTGAGAGTGAGGAGGTAGGACTTCTTGTACAAGGTGACCACGATGACCAGGTTGCCCAGGCAGACAAAAATGGTGATGACAATGATGGCGATGAACTGGGTGAGGATGACACCCTCTTCGCCGCCCTCCTCCTCAGTGAGGTTACTCAGCTCCTTCCTACAGCCGAGGGAGGAGTTGAGGCTCATGGTCAGTGCACCTCGGCATGGGGTGGGCAGAACATGCTGGATGACTGGAAAGATAAGGCAGGACCAGGGGACAGGAAAAGATTCATCAAATGCCATCATCTCCACTTTAGGGAAGAAAGGTGAGGCTTAAAGGCTGTGCCTCAGGTCACCCAGCTAGTGCAGACTCTCAGCCAGTCTTCCCATGTGCTGCATAAGTGGGGCATTTCCTACAACCAACTCTGTGTGAAACTGATTATGTCCCCCTGACCGGTTTCTTCCTCTGGTCTAACCCATCCTATCCATTTTCCCAAGGCCAGTGATTCAAAACCATTAATGTGCTTAAGAATCCTCTGAAGTGCCAGTGCAGAGAGCTGATCCTTGAGCTCCACCACTAGAGGTTCTGGGCGCAGAGATCACAGGCACAGCCGAGGAATCTGCATTTTAAACAAGCAGGCTGGGGCGGGGCGGGGGGCTGTTACAAGTGGTCTGTGGGAGACACTCTGCAGACTGCTGTGTTTAGACCCTGGTTACTCGGGGTGGGCCCTGAACCAGCAGGATCACCATCACCCGGGAGCTCACTAGAGAGGCAGAACCTCAGGCTCCGCAGCTCCATCTACAGAATCAAATCCGCATTTTAGCCCCACCACCAGTCAGTTTTAGTGCTCTAACAGTTCGACAGTAAGATTCTCATGGGAATCGTTCTGAGCTCCCTGAGCAGGGATTACTCAGGTACAGTTTATACGGCGACATTATTACTGCTCTCATCAGACATGGCGAGGGAGGGGAAGCGCAACTGTAAATGGGGAAGTGGAGGCACCATTTGAGGTCTCAGCCCACAGACATCACTGCCTATAAGGGGCCGTCCCTGCTCTCGGAAGACTGGCTGGTGATGCTGGCTAAATCTCCAGGCTGACACATGTTAACATTCAATCCTACAGACCAATGTTTCTCCAGCACTCTTCATATACTTCAGTGAGCCAAAATACCCCACAGATCACTGTCCCCACCTGCTCTCATTCTCTGCACAGAGAAGACACCAAAAAGAAAGGAACAATTGTTTTCCATGATCAAGACAAAAACTCTGGTGCCTGATCTGCCTACACACAGCAACAGGGTTATCTACCACAACCCTCATGGTAGATCCGTGGCCTCTACTCAAACATTCTTTGTCCAGAGGGCGTGTGCAGGTTAATAAGGCAGCCCTTCCCCTCCCCAGCAGTCTTAAGTGCCAGTGAGAAAGTTTCCCTTATAGTATGGTGGTTACCAGACCCTTCACTAACTTAGCTTTCCTGCTTTGTACTTGCTCTCAGATGTCTATGACCCTCTTGATGTGGGTCCCCAAAATTGAACACACCATTCTAGATGTCACGTCCAAAAGGGCAATTTTCTCCATGATCAGAATAATCTTTTTCCACTATTCACTCTAAAAATACATTTTCTGGAGGCAGGGTGCACGGTGGCTCACGTTGGTAATCCCAGCACTTTGGGAGGCCCATGTAGGCAGATTGCTTGAGTTCAGGAGTTCGATAACAAGCCCAGGCAACATGGTGAAACCCTGTCTCTACGGAAAAATACAAAGAAAATTATCCAGGAATGGTGGTTCATGCCTGTACTCCCAGCTACTTGGCAGGCTGAGGCGGGAGGATCCCTTGAACCCAGAGTTCGAGGCTGCAGTGAGCTATTTGTGTCACTGAGCTCTAACCTGGGGGATAGTCCGAGACCCTGTCTCAAAAAATTTTCTTATAGCAATGAGCTAATTCTGTTGGGCTTATATAAGTGTGTGATCAACTAAACCCCAAAGTTTATACATACATGAATTCCTATGAAGACAGATTTCCCTAATTTTGAAAATATGGAATTGATGTTTTTAAGCCTAAGTATAAAACATTATTTCTACTAAATTTCCCTTTATGTATTTAGGCCCATATTTCCAGGCTGCCAAAATATTCTGAATTTTGATTCAGTTATGCAACGTATTTGTTACTCCAGCTTTGTGCTATGAGTATACTTTCTAGGTATGCCTAGAAGCCGGGCACAGTGGCTCACGCCTATAATCCCAGCACTTTGGGAGGTCAAGGCAGGTGGATCACCTAAGGTCAGGAGTTCGAGACCAGCCTAGCCAACATGATGAAACCTCATCACTACTAAAAATACAAATATTAGCTGTATGTGGTGGTGGGCACCCATAATCCCAGCTACTCAGGAGGCTTAAGCAGGAGAATCCTTGAACCCAGGAGGCAGAGGTTGAGTGAGCTGAGATCATACCAGTGCACTCCAGCCTGGGTGACAAGAGTGAAACTCCATCTCAAAAATAAAGAAAGAAAGAAAAAGAACCAGAAACCATAATGAAAGAACAAGATATCATAAAACAAACAAAAAAACAAAAAACAGAAAAAACCACAGTTGTAAAAAAGAACCAAATAGAACTTCTAGAAGTTAAAATTTTAGTCATCAAAATTACAAACAAATGGGGATGTTAAACAGCAAATATAGATAAAGATGGTTAACTGAAAGATGGTTCCCAGAAGAGGTCTAAGGAAATTACTCAGAATGCACTCAGAAAAATTAAGAAATTAAAAGGATGAAACAAAACCCAAAATATTGGAAGAACAGGCTAAGAAAATCCAACATATGTCCAAGAGAAGGGCAGAGAGAATGAAAGGAGCAGACACTGTTGGGTACTTACCCAGGGGCCATTCTTAGTTCGTTCTTACTGGCAGACCTCTAACTTTGTTCAGGTGTCTAATCCTCCTCCAAGTGCCCCGGAGAAGCCTGATCTTATCCCTAGTTCTGGAATACAGATCCTGATTGGTCTGAACTAATCACTGTGTTCCCTTTCTTCTTGCAGTTCTGGCAGTCTCCGCCTGTAGTTAGGCAGGAGGAAAAAGTCTTTGATGAAGGAAAGGGGGAAGCTTTTTGGGTAAAGCTGCTTTGATCCCACAAAGACACAAGGAAGATAAATCTCTCTAATGACGCTGGTGGCAAAGACAGAAAGGGAGCCTGGAGCTGCGGCAGCCATCTTGAGACCATTAGGGATGCAAAGCCAACATCTGAGCACGAAAAGAATGGCTGATGCTTAGGCTAATAAATTAATAAATCCTGAAGTCAGTTTTCTCCTGGCTTTTTGTTATGTGAAGTGATACGAGTTTAAAAATTGTTTTTTAAGCTATTTTGAGTTGGGTTTCTGTTACTTGAGTCACACGTATCCAACCTACTAGGTAACAAGAATATAGAGGTATGACTGAACATTTTCTAAGATTAAAGAAACTCCCGAGTCCTCAAATTGAAAGAGCATATCAAGTTCTGAAAACAAATTTTTGAATAGCCTATACCAAAACACATCATAATAAAAAATGAACACAAGGACATACAGAGAAATGGAAAAAGCAATTTTGTCTATAGAGTAACAGTTAGATAAAGAGTAGACTCTTCAATAGCAAAAGTAAAAAAAAGAGGCCAGAAAATAGTGGAATAATATCAGAAAAAGAACCTTTGCCCTTAAGCTCCATGTCATTCAAGAGAGGGTAAATATACTTTTGGGGTGAACAAAACCTGAATGGTTACAAATGACAACTCTTGAGTGATCTGGTTAAGGATACATTTCATGAAGAAGGAAACTGAATCCAGAGATAAGGGGTAGGGTACAAGAATCAACTGTTAGAAAAAAATTTGGTTAATACGTAGATAGATCTAAATAAGAGCAATAAAAAATAAAATGCAGGCCTGGCGCACTGGCTCATGCCTGTAATTCCAGCACTTTGGGAAGCTGAGTAGGCAGATCACTTGAGGTCAGGAGTTCGAGACCAGCCTGGCCAACATGGTGAAACTCCGTCTCTATTAAAAATACAAAAATTAGCCAGGAGTGGTGGCGGATGCCTGTAATACCAGCTACTCAGGAGACTGAGGCAGGAGAATCACTGGAACCCAGGAGGTAGAGGTTGCAGTGAGCTGAGATGGCACCACAGCACTACAGTCTGGGCAACAGAGCAAGACTCCAGCTTAGCAAGCACATCAGTGACCTCAATATCGGAGAGCCCAGAGTTGGCTGCAGTCTTTGAGGCCTTCTGGTCCAACCTTCCCAAGGAGACAGAGGGGGAATGTGGGCCTAAGAGCTGCCCACCCAGTAAAATCCAAAATCCCAGTCTCTGCCACGAGGTCTGGAGTAGGGAAGGCACAAGTCCCAGCAAATCCCTCAGGGTCTATCTTTAAAGAACAAGAGAAGGGGTTTGGAAGGCCCCAGCCAGAGGAGGCTTCCTGGCGGGCAGCCAGCTTACCCAGGGCCCAACAAGCCAGGGCCCATTGAATGGAAGCGAGCTTGTGTGACTCACATTTCCACTCTCTGGGGCTGCTCTGCTGCCAGACACAAAGGTGTTTCAGAACTCCCACACTCACTGCATCCTGCCCTGACCAAATAAATCACCTTGCACTGCTTCTCCAAGACACACCTAGAAAAAGGTTTTAATAAGCTCAACAGAAATTATCCCCGAGAAAGAGAGCTATCCCTCCCTCTCAGACAGGTCATCAGGGAAGTTGATTGCTGACTCAGCCTTGCCACCATAGCTCACGTGCTGTGGTCACTCCTCTTTGGGAATTGTCTTCAATCTTCTTGTGCATCTCCAGAGACAGTAAATTCTTTGCCTGATTAGCCTACTGGTAACGGCCTCAGGTCAGTCAAAGCCAAATCTTATCACTCAAGTCATTAAAATGATATTAATCATTTTGTAATGAGTCCAAGTGCCCATCAATGACAGACTGGATACAGAGAAAATGGTCCTTATGCACCATGGAATACTATGCAGTCATAAAAAAGAACGGGATAAGTCTTTGTAGGGACAAGGATGGAGCTGGAGGCCATTATCCTTACCAAACTAATGCAGAAACAGAAAACCAAATAGCACATGTTCTCACTTATAAGTGGAAGTTAAATGATGAGAACACATGGACACAAACAGAGAAACAACAGACACTAAGGCCTCCTTGAGGGTGGAGGGTGGGAGGAGGGAGAGGAGCAGAAAAAATAACCAGTGGGTACTAGACTTAGTACCTGGGTGAAAAAATAATCATA